ATTTAAAAATCTGGCTATTTCTTATATACAGGAATTTATTTTTTATGGCTGTTGGTAGGAATTATTTTTGTCGCCTATTTTTCTCCTAGAACTACATCTCACATTGAAGCATCTAAATATCTTTGAAAGTCAAGTCCTACATGTCTGAGTATAGGCATGTCAAGGCAAACAATCCTGAAGAAATCCTGTTTCTCAGATGTAACCTATAAAAGCAGAAATATAGAAATTCAGTTATGTTAGATGCTGTATCATTGTCAGATTAAGATGCTACTAACAAGATGTTAGCTGTTCAACTGTTTGAAAATACGCTTTTTCTTCATTGCTTACTGTCCTGTGAAAGATGTTACAGTAGAATTGACAGTTATAATGTATAGTTTGCTAGCTGCAAAACAGAAAAGCAGAAAACAGAAATGTGAGTGATTTGAACTGCAGGAAACCACAGTGGCCCTTTAGTTTTTGCATAGTGGCCATTTAATTTTGCATGAAAGTAATTCATGAAAGACAAAGTTAATTAAACATTTAAACATTTAAACATTTCTTGGGAAATTTCACCATCTATGACCAAGATAGGTATGTTATAAACACTGGCACAAAATTTCCTCAGTCCTTTTGCGTAACAGTTGAGTATACAATGCTATATGATATATAAATATATCATAAACACATGTACTGCAAATTCCAAAATGAATTCTGAACTCCATTTAACAGTCTCAGCCTGTTAACAGGTTGGAGAAAAGGGCAACAGTAGATTCATTACACTAAGGGCTCAAAGGCCCAGAACATGACTTGGCTGAAAAAAAAATATACTCATTATTTCCTGCATTTTTGAGAAACGAAAAATGGATCAGATATGAAGAGCTACACACTGCAAATTATAGTGAAAAAGGATCATGCTACTGCTTTGCCTTCCTTGTAGACAAGGCAAGGTACACTGACCTCAGGACTCTTCTTGCACTGAACAGGTTATATACAATAATCTGAAAAGAAACTCAATGATTAAAGCTTTCAGTTTCATCTGCCAGATGACTGACTAAAAATTTCAGAACTGTGATAGCATTCACAATCTGAAAGTCACTAAAGCAAAAAAGTGAGGAGACAACAAGGGAGTTGAAGGTGTCATTCCAAACCCAGACTCGATGTTATGGGGATGTGAACTTACACGGAACCAAAACTCTAGGTGTCCTCTTCATTTATCCTCCTTTTCTGAAGGGATTAATTTGAAAATTCTTCTGGAGAATAATAATTGTTAAAGAAAATGAACGCCTTAAAAAGATTTCTCTTCTACATATGACAGGTGCAAAACCTCCAGTAGTCAATGTTTGGAAATGGAACCAATTCTTTAGAAATCAATTTTAACAACTGAAAGTTTTGAGGGGTAAAGTCTCAGGGGGAGGGGAAACAAACTAAGGTGATGACTACAAGACCTTGCATGCATTGATATTCTGTACTGACACAGTATTTTACAGTATTGACAAGGCTGTGCTTTAAAGTATTGTGTAAAATACCATCAAGCTAAACTGACTATAGGTTCCAGTTTGGCTAGTGTAACACCAGTGATTTCTCCCAGTACAGTTACAATAGTCACAGACCATTTTTTCACGTCTCTGTTGACATAGTTCTGTTGGCAGGTGTTTGTTGTAAGCATAGCTTTAATTTACTTTACAATCTTTCATGGAAAGTCTGCAACACAGACTTCAATATGAAGTAGAAGTGGAAGACACATCTTACTTCTATATAGCCCAGATGTTCTATACAGGTTATATCTATTCGTGCTGGAGACAGAAGTTTTAATTTTATTATACCTGTTAATGAAATAGCATCTGCTTGGACAATGATGTGCAACTCAGCTGACTGTGCCCTGACACACTCAAGAAGAGGTCCCAAAATTATCACCGTGCTAATATGACTTGAAAGGGTAACAAGGACGTTTTAATAAAGTGCCTAAGCATCTCTCGTAATTTTGTGAGGCAATAAGCTGCCTTTTATGGCACACCATGCAAGGAATGGGGTTGCTAAAACAAACTAAACAGGAAGGAAGTTTCCCTTGTGACTTCTGATTAGCAATACAAGCAAATGATCAGATCCAGATTCTGTGCTACGGTGTATTTGCCTTGGCCTGGCAATTGCCCTTGAAATGAACTCTCTGCCAACAGAAAGCTTGTGCTAGAGCAACCGTTCTGCCTACTGCTTGGTGATTAGGGATCACAGTTAGGACAAATGAGGAGTGAAGTGATGAGAAACTCTGTTTCAGACCTGCTTTGGAGCAGGCTTAGCTCAGTATTTTTTCATCCTGCACAACACATATTCTATAGCAATTTTGAAAACAGTATCACTTAAAAGTTAACATCTGCTTAGCTGGTAGCACCAGATAAAAGCTCTCATTTGTAATGAACAGGCAAATTTGTTATTGCAGCAGTCAATAGCTATTGACTTGGTAGAGCACTACTGCTTATTACAATCAAATCCTTTTTCTGTTTTGTTCAATAGTCAATGACACTGTAATGGAAGGTACTGCTTACAAACTGATGCAATATATATCAACAACTGCTAGAAGTAAATGACTAATGGTTAGAAAGAGGAAAGCATTTGCTAAGAACAGCATTACACGTCTATTAATCAAATTTACTGCGTCTGATGTGCCTTTATGGGTTAGTGGAACTGTAATGTACATCAGATAAACAGTTTCTGCTGTTATTAATCCAAGTTTCAACACAAAGCACCTTTTAATCATGCCATCATTACATAAGTAATCTGGCTAGGACAAGGTTCTATCTGACTTTTACAGCACACCTTTTAGCTACAGAAAATTTCTGTCCTGTGTTGGCTTGTGCAATCCTAGATTTAGGATTTAGTGAAATGAAAGGTAATTGTTCTGCTCCCAGCTGAAGCAATTCTATTCTCTAAATACCACAGATGGGGCAGTATAAATGCAAGGCAACATCCTAAAGAGAAGCTGTCAAAAGGGAAGCATAGCAGAGTGCAAATATCCACTGCTCAGCCTGCCTCCTAGATTCTTCCCTGCAGCACAGCAGTACTGCACAACTTTGTCCTTTACACTTTATAGAACTCACACTTTCCATCCCTTAGGGTGAAAGTTTTTGATAACTCACGCATTTTAGTAATTCCCTAATTACTGCTGTATAATTGTTTTATTTTTTAAAACCTGCCTAACATAAAAATATTTTCTTTCAAACTTTTTACTTAATATTTGAGAGGGACACACATTTTTATAGGGCAGTGTGACTATAACTTATTCTTTTTATATTACCTGTAAGCAAACATTTCAAAACCAATAATGAAGTTTGTTGACTCCTTAGAGAAAAGCAGAACTGCTAATGATGACTTTTTGACTTATGATTGTCTATAATCACTTTTCCTGTAGAACAGGAAAAAATACTTTAATGTTGGAGCACTGATTTATCTGTTTGGTTCTGTTTTCTTAAAGTGATCTACATTTCCCTCTAGACTGATGATGAGACATTACAGAAAGAAAATTTAAAAATGTGGCAAAGATTAAAAAATCATGCCATTGCCAAGTACATTATACTGTACTCTGTGTGCACCATCTAATTGGATTTAATCATTGTTTGTAAATCACATCCATTAGCTTTTTCAGTAATGAGACATACAGTTCTGGATACACCACATGGATCCTAGTCATACCTGTGATACTGGTTCATAAACTGTCCATGTGGGTGAAGACTGGTGCAATTAAATTGCTGCTGTACTGCTCATTATGAAGCAAGGAGCTAAAATCAATTAAGTTCCTACACATTTACATCTCTTGAGAAAAATCTCCAATTCTACTCAGCCAGTATGAACTCATGTTCTTGTTTGTTGTCAGCAGAGTAGTAACTGATGGAAGAGCAATGGAGGACACTAAGCCATATCTTTCCAGAAATCTGCAGTGTGATGGGTTTTGTTAGTCTAGTAACCAAACATTCCAAAATAATAATGAATTTATCCTTGCAATAGTGTGTGAAGAAGAAAAAAAGATCATCAGATGTAATCAAAGTCATCCTATAAACCTATTGAAATTCCATTCCAATGACACGAGTTCAGGAGTTATACTTTCATCTTTGTTCTAGCATGTTGGGTTTTCCAAACATAGTTTTTGATACTGTAACAAGGTGAAACCAGAGAATATTCATGTTTATTGTATTTACTGTGGCAGTAATAACTGTTTTATATATACAAGATTTGAACTTTAAAAGAAAAATATAAGTACAGCAAATAAACAAACAGTATGGCTTAGTTGAGGCAACGATTGATTTTGAGAAGAGTATACCATATGAGTTTTTTAATTCATTACTGCAAAAAGTTGGCATTAAAGAAATTACATGCACGTTAATACAACTTCTACTTAACAACTAGCTATTTCAGCATTTCAGAAAAGCCCATACTCCTGCTAAAAAATGCTAGATTGCAGAGATATCTCTTGGCAGCTGCTTGAGGTATAAAGAGTAAGACATTTCATAGATTATTCTGGAATTTTAGTCAACCATTTGCAAGTGTACAGTAAGTTTAAAAGAGTTTACATTTTATTTCTTTAAAATAGTAAATTGATCTCTTCTGGTACCAAAATTAGTAAAACACAACCAAATAAAAGTGAGTGCTTGTGGGAAAAGAAGACTATAGCTGCTACTTTACAGGATGATTTAGCTTCATTGTCAACTCACTTACGTTTATGGTTTTCTCTACTGTATTCCACTTGCCTGTAAACAAACTCTACAGTGCAATTTAATAAGAACCTGTAAAGACCTTATTTAAATGGGTAGGATTTCTATTAAAAATATAAAAAGAAAACATTACTAATTGAAAATATATAGACTATGCATTTCCTATTACAGAACCCATAAATTCTGAAGTTTCTGCTGTGCTTCACAAGTTGGATAATTTCTGAGAATTACAATACATATTGAATGTGGAAGTAATAATTAATTTTGATACTAAATGACATAGATTGGGAAAAGAACAAAAAGCTATTAATAGTAGCTTACTTTTTGTAACAACTCCTTCAAGACGAATGATATTTGGGTGATCAAATTGTCCCATGATACTAGCCTCTCTCAGGAAATCTCTTCTCTGCCTGTCCACATAGCCGCCTTTTAGAGTTTTAATTGCCACAGGTATCTCTCTTTTTCCTGGTGTCTTCAGACGCCCGCTGCATACTTCTCCAAACTCACCTTAAATATATAAAACATTTGTTAGATCATTACCAGTGCCTGAAGAACTACAGTACAGTTGAACTTAAACACCTTATTTTTCAAAATAACCTTCAATAGCTGTCTTAAAAGCTGTCTTTTTTTAATAGGTCAGACCTATTTGTAGTTGTCAGTGAAACGAATGAAAAAATATTCAAGTAACTCACACATCCTGTAGTACTGGAAAGAGAAATAATGGATGGGATTTTCAAGTTTCTGACTTCCATCACATTCCAGAAAAGCAAAAATATTCATCATTACTTCCCAAAAAAGAATCACCTTTCCTCTGTGCCACACCACAAGATCATGGGGACTTGTACTTTCACTGCCGTTCAGTGTGGTTCATCTTGCATTTCTGACACTTTGAGACTGAACTTTGATATTAATATATTTGTGATACAACTGAGCATGCTATGAGGGAGGAATGTAATGACACTTAGATTTTAATTCTAATGATGACAAAATATCTATCTAAAATATCTAAAATATCTAAATAAATATCTATTTATAGCAATAGCTATCTATAGGAGAGTCATGCACCAAGACCTATATGAAAAGAAATGCTGTGAGAATATCAGAATACTTCACTATCCTCCAATTTTAGGAGCATTTAAAATGTACTTAATGCTACTATGTCCCAGAAAAAGCACTTGCACATGATTTATTTAAATGGACTTACCTACTTGAAACTAATTACATATTTCAATGTTCAGAAGGCCAAAGTCAACAGTTTCAGCAAATCAGGACTGAGTTGCATAACGTGAGGAGCGTGCTTCATCTGATGTTTTCCTGTGCACGTATTGGCCTTTGAAGAATGCATGTTTCCTTGCATTCCCTTTACACATTCACTAGTCAAGTTTATATGGAAATCACAACTTTCCTTTGATCTTGAAGCCACTCAAAAGTTATTTAAAGCCCTACCAAATATACTCTGGATGCCTGCAGGTCAGTTTTCAATGGGTCATAATTCAGTAAACAATGTTCCCAATATATTTCAAAGCACTTCTCAGTGTAGGATACATCCATAGCAAAACTGAACTCTCTACCCCAGTCATTTTGGAATCAGAACTACTGAAAAACAAAAAAAATGAGTCATAAACAGATATCTATTTAACTGGAGGAAATGACTTGCTACCTGCTCCATGAGTGCTATCTGGATCCATTTTCCTTAAACTTTAAGGACAGAACAAAAGAAAACAAAATAAGAGAGCTCTATCCTGCAACAGTGTGTCTTCAGATATGAACTGAATCTAGAAGGAAAAGGCGTTAAAGGCAGAAGCTTCACTTGAGAAAATTATAACTCCCTGATGTTATAGGATTAAAATGGATATTGTCATACAGCTTTTATTTTATTAGGTTCTGTCATTTCCACTAAAAAAAACCAGGGTTTTATTAGCCAATAAGATCCAGGAAGAGTGAGGAGATTAAAAAAACAATTTCATAGCTTGTCTTTCACTTCAAAACAGAGGCATCATCAAGTGCAAGAGTACAATAAACAGATGTTGAACATAACTTCAGAATAAATTAGCAGCTTTTTAAACAGCTAACAAAAGCCAAGTGTCCTAGGTCTTCTTTCTACCCAAACTCCTCCTTTTTTTAAAAATTTTTATTTAATTTTAAAAAATAAATCAAAGCATGGGCTTCGCTGAAGATGTGTGCATTGCATATGTGTGAAAATATATGTCATCAGACTAATGCTCTAGGAATCTTTTGAAAAAATGAAAAGTTGGGTAGGGATTTTACTAAATGATTTTGCTTTATTAGCCCTTAGAAGGGTCTCCTTAAAAGTCTGTTTGCCTGACTACTGCCACTGAAAAAGTAGTAGCAACTTTGGACTTCTAAAGTCCTACTAAAAAACAGTCATGAAACCGGAATGTTTTGAAGGAGACACGGTATATCCATCTTCTATTCTGTGATACATGCAGCAAAGCTAGAATACACCTCTAAAGCCATGATCTTATTGCATCTTACTTGCTTTTCAAAGCCAAATGCTTAAAATTAGAAAAAATTCCAATTTATTTTGCTTGATGAAACAGTGAAAAGCAAAAGTACCAGTGAAACAACTTTAGTATTCAGATTTTAAAAGAAATTTCATGGTCAATAAATCTGCAGAACTGCAAAATCTCATTTTTCAGAATCTTTTGGAAAGTATGGATTATAGAATAAATTGGTTTGCTATTGTAAGATCATATAAGAATCCTACAGCTTCAGAATTTCAGAAATAATGGCATTCATACCTCAAGGACTGTAAAGGGCTGTACACCAAGCGTTTTGAAGTGAATGAAACTGAGAGAGGCAAGTGAAGGACGGACTTACAATCCCAAGATTTATCATCTGTACATCATGTCTTCTACCTGATCTGCTTCTTTTCCCTTTTTTGGATGCATGATTTGGACAGGTAGAAAGAAATTTCACTCCCTTTGGGTACTGGGATGGATGAACCGGTGAACTTAAAGACTAATATTTTTTTTGGTGATGTGATGTCAAATAGACAGTAAGTGATAATCAGCTCACAGAAAAGACAGATACTACATTTAGAGTCCTAAGTATGTGTAATACCTTCTGGTTTAGAGTAGATGGGGTACAGTGATATAACTGAAAGCACTGAACTATTTACACTGAGAAAGAGTTTGACATTATTTCAACCCAGAGTATTTTTTCTGCACTTTTGTTCAGATAAAGAATTTTGAATGTTTTTAAAGTCAAAGGAGAATGTATTGAACAAAAGGGATTTATAAAATCCAAGAATCTAAGTCTCATTGCTCAAGTTTGAAGATAAACAAGACAAACGTTAACCCTGCAGCAGAAAAGGTTTATGACTGCATGTGTAATAAGTAGAAGCTAAAAGCCAGATGTCAGTGAAGTCAAAATCTTCCCTTGCTCCAGGCAAAAAGCTGTTAATAACTAGAGAAAAAGATAGAATTCATTGTTTGGTTAGTTTTAATAAAGTGTAAATAATCCCTGCCTTAATGAAATAAACTCTACACTCTTACTGTATGTTATACAAAAAGTTAATTGAGCAGTCTAGAAACTTACCCTGTGCAAGTCACACATCCCTTTTCTCATTCAGTCATAACATGTGTTATTTAAAATGAAACAAGAATAGTCAGTCACTTTAAAAGTCTGATATGCAGTCTGGTATTACTACATGGGATCAAAACAAATGTCTTACAGCACAGACAGTTGCTGTTGGTAGAACTGAAAGGTCACAGCACCAAATACAGCTCAACTCATTTTTCCCAGTTTTAGTCACTAGACCTGTGGGAGAACTGGCAGAAATATTAGATTATAAAAAGAATAAAGTGTTTTCTCTGTGAAAAACCAGAGTTGGCCTCTTCCTTGAGTTTCAACATTTTAACACAGAAAATAAGAGTATAATTGCAACTTTTATGATAGACATGACAAAGTTTCTCTGGGAATTCCTTCCACAAAGAGGTGCTGAAGCCTTAAATCAACGCGCAAAAAGTGATGGGGAGGAAACAAGTGCCATGGACAGGCCAGAACTAACTGATAACATGTCAGTAGGTGCAGCAGCTCAGTATGAAGAGTGCCTGAAAGGGATCATCTGAAGAAAATCTATAGCCACGAATAGCTGGTAAATTCTGGGAACTGGCACATTTTTTTGGCATATAGCCAGTGACTGCTGTTTGTGAGCTGAGTAT